CAGAAGAAAAGTATAAAAACGAAATATAAGAAGTAAAGCCATGCTGTTATGTTGAGCTGTAGGGGACTCAGGTCAACAATTTCTGACATCACCAGTCAAGTGGAAGACCCAATACTATTACGGGCTACTGGACTCTTTTAGAATATTTTGCTGAGTTTACACACCAATAATATTCAAATAATGGAACTTAACAAAAAAAAGGAGATACAGATGAATGTCCATTTTGTATCTGTGTATTCAAAGTGGTTAGGATAGATATATAGTTACATTCTCTTAAAGAATACAGTGATTTGTTCTAATAGTGTTTGTAAATAGGATATCATGTCCGCATCTTGCACAGCAATTAACCACCAGGAAGAATGTATGCAATGTGTTATTATTGAAACTGTCCTACCAATTTGATTTGAAACTGTCTCATTGCTATTTGTTTATCAATAAAATTATGGGAAAAAACAAAACAAAATGAAAACCTCATGGTGATCCTCCTGTATCAGCCTCCTGAGTGCTGGGACTTATACCACCATGTTAATAAAAAATTTGTGTTTTTTATTAGCACATGTTTACAATACATAATGATCACATTCATTATGGGGAATGGGTCCACACACATCTCTATTTCATCCCTTCCCTCCTACCTCCATCTCTTGGTCATCTTCTGATTTAAGAGCCAAGCCCTAGTTCCTATTTCCTATTATCTTTTTATTTTGCTCTTCATGTACATTTGGGTTTTTTTCATAAGAGAAACCATATTATATTGAAGCTCATGTGTCTGATTTATTTCACTTAATATCATGGTCTCACGGCACATCCCATTTCCTAGATGGCTCAAGCTTACCCTTCCTCATGGCAGAGTAGTGCTCCACTGTGGGAAACACCACATTTTCTTTATCCACTCCTCCACTGATGGGCATACAGCCTGCTTCCAACATTTAGCCTTCCTGTGTTGTGCCACTATCAACATGGTTTGCATGGGTCACTGCAATATTTTTACCCCTTCTAGGAAGGGACCTGGAGTGAATGAATGCCTAGGTCAAAAGGAATTTCTATTTTTTTTTTTTTTTTTTTTTTTTTTTTTTTTTTTGCGGAACCAGGAATTGAACTGAGGCCCTTGTGCTTGCCAGGGAAGCACTTATTCCACTGAGCCATCTCCCCGGCCCCTAGTTTCAGTTTTTTGAGGAACGTTCATATTGACCCCCACAGCGGTTGTGTTAGTTTATATTCCCAACAGTGTAGAAGGGTTCCTTTTCCCTTAAGTCCCACCAGCACTTATTTTATTTTTATTATTTTTAATTTTTTTTTTTTGTGCAGGGTCTCACTACACAGCTTGGACTTGTAGTGATCCTCCTGTTTTCAGCCTTCCTAGTACGGGGATTACTGGTGTGCGCTATCATGCCCGGGCTCCATCACCAGTTCAGTGTGCTCAGGGGCAGGGCTGGCACGGCATGTGGTGCCAGGGTATTTGATTTTTTGATGGCCAGTCTTTCTGGAGTAAGGTATAATGTTGTTTTAATTTGCATTTCTCTAATGGCCAGTTAATGCTAAATGATTTTTTTTTATGTATTTATCACCCACCTGTACTTTTTCTGAGAAGTATCTATCATTTTGGTTGCTCATATTTTGGGTTTTCATTTTGAGGAAGTAATTTTTGAGTTTTCACACATTCTGGATATTAATCATCTGCCATGACCAGTTTTTAAACTGAGAGTAGAGCCACATATGGTAGAGCACTGCAGTCCCCTTCTTGGGAAGCTGAGGCAGGAGGATGGCTGTGAGTTCAAGGCCTGTCTGAACTACATAGATCCTGTTTCCAGAAACCAAGAGAATAAAAACCAAAGGAGCACTTGCCTCCTTCCTTGCCTGCACAGCCACGGAGGCCTGATGCCTCTTCCCACATCTTCTGCAAGGAGCTGGCCGGCCATTACCCATGGGTTGCTTTCCGTTATGCAACGTTCAGTGGACAGTGCTACCTGGCGTGGGGACAATGATGGAGGACTTCACACCTGCTCTTCTGAGGCAGGGAGTGTCATCTTTTGTGTGAACTTTGTTTGCATCATGTTGAGAAGCAGTCACTGGTGTTACCATGGGGAGAGTGGGTAGAGTCAGTGCCTCTGGCATCTCTGGCTGAGTAGGGGCAATACGCCAGCATGTCACATGTGCATCTTCCCTAGACATCTGGGCTTCAAGCAATGTCTTCTGTTCTCCTTCTCCCTCCATCTTGGGGCGCCATGAGGGCCTAGCCAGGCTTCCCTGGGGAGTGTCTCTGCAGTCAGCCACCACAAGTTACTCTTAGGGTGGCTCATGCCCTCCCCTGGCAGGTGATTCTAGCTATGGGCCGACACTCATTCCCTTTGGCTCCAAGTGACTCCCTCACAAGGCACAAACACCCCAGAGCCAGGTGACGTGGTACCACTTTGCTGGCTGTGTAGTCACATGGCATCTTTCCCACTGCTTCCTGTCAGAGCAAGTCACCATGGTAGCTCACATTCACAGAAGAAACAGAATCTAAACACTGAGGAGGGGTGGGCCCAATGCTCCCAATGTGTATCTTGCAACCAGCACGGGGTGTGTGTGTGCAGCTGCTCAGTGACAGGTGTGGGCCTGCCGGTTCCTTCCAGGGCAGCCTCTTTTCTGTTTAGCAGCCTTCTGACAGCTCCAAGACCAGTTCCTTACACTAAGCTCCTACTCTTTGATGTACCTAGGCTGGTTCCTATTTTTGACAAGACTTTGGTGCATGGGATCACCTCTACCCGGCTGAGCTCACCAGTTGGGCTAAGAGCAGATACACCTATAGTTGTGCTAAGGGCTGATGGCCAAGCCAGCTGTTTTATGTATGTTGTCCCATTTGGTTCCAACCCAGCAGAAGATAAGGTGATGCCTCTATTATGGGCACAGAAACCAGCTCTGAAGGGGTAGACAAGGTGCCCAAAGGCTTGTTTGGGATCATACTCAAGTACGTGCTTCTTGGCCTTCTGGACCTGGTCTATGAGTTCCACTTGCTCAGCAGCAGAATTAGCTTTCCTATGAACCTGTCCTAGCTATGCTACTCACCCAAGTTAGAGCCCCAGGCAGGCACCCACTCCTCAGAGGCTCCAGCTCCACATCCAGAAAGTGAAGCTAATGTTCTGGGATGGACCAAAGAGATACTTAGCAAAGCGTCTACTTTGCGATAAGAGCTGTATCAGTGACGGGACAGAAAAAGTAACACAAAGCAAGTAAAGCTCAATTATTATTTTTTTTTTTTTATTTTTTTTTTTTTTTTTTGTTTGAGAGAGAGAGAGAGAGAGAGAGAGAGAGAGAGAGAGAGAGAGAGAGAGAGGCCAGCTCAGCCCACCAGGGGGCAGGGCTGGCTGGCATGTGGTGCTGTGGGATTGAACCGCGGTCCCTGATGCTTTTGCTAAGCTTGTTCTAAGTAGGTGCTTTAGACCACTGAGCCATCTCTCCAGCCCCAGTAAAGCTCAATTATAAGGGCCTTCATTAGGTGTTGAGAGTCCTACTTGGTCCTGTTAGCAACAGGGAATCAATTTAACTGAGGAAGAAAGCAATGCAAAAAGCATAACACAAAAGAATGACAACCAGTGAATGAATACAATTTCTCACACAACCAGCTTCAGCTCAGGAAAGCACAAGTTAAAAAATGTTACAACTGCACTCTATTTCACAGATGGCAAAACTACTCCCAGAGACTAATTAACTTGGCCAAAGTCCCCCAGCTGCTCGGAGGTTGTCCTAGTTTGCCCACATCTCCCTCCTCACTGGAGGCTGCTCATGGCCTGGCGCGTGTGTCTGCCCACTCCTGGCAACACACTACCAGGGCAGCGGTTTGGTTGCTAAAGTTAAATTTTCCAACATCTGACAGTTGGGTGCTTGGGAAATGTCTGCACACACCACGTAGAGTGCCAAGTGGGTCAGAGAGTGATGGTTTTCTGTAGACACACACTTCCTTTTCAGCCTATCTGTGCAGTGGCAGACTTACTGTTGACGTAAGGGTGGCTTTGGAATCTTGGAAGAGTATTGAAGCAAGCAGAGATTTGGTACAAAGTCACCAACGATCACAAGGACCTGCACTGGAGCACCAAGCCATGGAATTACAGCTGGAGGAAGAAGAGGACCTGAGGCTCGGCTGGACAGATGGGTGCAGCGCTGTGGTTGCTTCCTAACCCTTCCTGGGTTTCCACCTGGGAGCCTACCATAACCTGCAATCTGCAGCTGAGCAGCCAGCTCCATCCTCAGGCCATTTTCTGGCTCAGGATGAGTGTCCTAGTCGGAGGCCATGGAGGTGGACAAGACTGAGGGAAGTGTTTCTGCTTGTCTGGGAGCTTCAGGAACGAATTCTCCCTCTGCCTCCCATGTGTGCCCCACAGACTGTTGCCAATGTCTCCTGACTGTGGGGAGCAGCCTTGCACTGGTGCCCACACTGCTGAGGCAGGAAGGTGGTGAGGAGTCGGGAGTATGTATGAGCCAGACTGCCTGAGGCCCTGAGCCTAAACACACCCGGCTGTTACAGGAGGGAGGGCTCCTTGCCAAGGTCACTCTGTCACACACCCTCACAGGTAACCAGGAGAAACTTAAAAGGCAAACTGCAGAAAAAAACGCCTCAAGACATCTATGAACCCTTACTGACAACATGCAAGCCCCTAAGGCTTGTGGAGGTGGGAGCTCTTGGTTCTGTACCCAGGATTCTTTGCTTTGGTATGATGCATTCTTATCTATTGGGGTTCTATCTGGTGTCTGATGTGTACACTGCTAAGAAAGACATATCAGCTTGTTGTGCTGCTGCACACCTGTCATCCCAAGCACTTGGGGCTGAGGCAGGAGGATCGTTGTGAATTCAAGGTCAGCCTGGGCTACACAGTAAGTTTAAGGCCATCTTGGACTATATAGTAAGACCCTGTCTCAAAAAATAAAACATCAAAATAAATTCAAGTATTATACAGACCATGGTCTCTTTGAATTAAAGCTTTGGGTCAAAGTAATAAACACTTACTTCTCTGTTGAAAAAGATCAAACACTTTATTCATCTAACATATATATATATACAAGCCAAATCAGGTTTTCGTCAGCCATCCTTTCCACATTTTGCGCAGCTTTTGTGAACTATAAATCACTGATCTCTTCAGGCCTGAAAAAGAAAAAAGAGGGTAAGAGCTTGGTGGGCATGGGGTGGGCATGCAGTTGAGTCAGTGATGTGTCCATGAGAGACTTGTAGTTTGAGGTTTTGCAAAGGGGAACAATACAATACAGAACACACTTTAAAGACACTATAATGGATCATCCAAAGAATCATACACGAAGGTGCAGGAAATGTGTTCACACACATAAAGACCAAAGAATCCACCTAAGGCCTAAATCCTAATATCCTTGCTTGTTTTTCTTTTCTCTTGTCTTTTCTTTTTTCTTTCTTTCTTTTTTTTTCTTTTTTTCTTTTTCTTTTTTTTTTTGGTCTCACTACGCAGTTCAGGCTGACCTTGAGCTCACTGTGTAGCCCAGGCTGGACTCACAATGAACCTCCTGCCTCAGCCTCCTGAGTGCTGGGACTACAGACATTCACCACCACACCCAGCCTCTGAATCCTAATATCCTCACGAGTCCAGATAAAGACCTACAGCTCCTAACAATGTCTCCCACAAGTCCAACTGGAGGCCTAGAGCCCATGACAATGTCTCACGCGGGCCCGCTTCACGAATCTCTGCTGAGAAGGCTCAAAGGTCAGTGGCAGAAGCTAGAAAGTCTGCCAGTGGGATGAAGGATCTGTGCCAGCAGGCTGAGCAATCTACACTGGTGCCAGGAAGCCACGCTCTGGGTAAGAACCAGAGCGCCCTTGAAAAGCACCATAGCCATCCTTAGCAACTGTGAGGTCCCAAGCTCCTCTGATGATGAGGAAAGCTGAGTTCCCATCAAGAAAGCCAGTGCGACAAGCTTCTTCAAGAGGTTGAGCAGTGCACCGACCTCCCCTCCAGAGCCAGGAAGTGATGCTCAAAGTGAGGACCAGAGCTCCCCAAAGTGAACAATAGCTATTCTCAGTGAGAGTGAAGTCCTGAGCTCCTCTGATGAGAACAACCAAGTTCACTGGGAAAGCCAGCCCGACAAGGTTCTCCAGCAGGACAGTCCAAGAGAAGCAGCAGCTTCCAGCAGTTCCAACAGTTTCTCCAGTTCTTTTACGCTGCCAGCAATACTTCTCAGGGGTCTCCCATACCTAGCACCACTCTAGTTCAGTTCACCTGGTTATAACAAGTTGGTCACAATTGGCAATCTATCACACCTGTCTTTGGGGAGCAGTGATGTGCTGGCTGGGGTTTACTGAAACTGATGTGGTGACAGGTTCTGATGTGGAGATGTGTGGCAATGTCATATGCATGCTGAGGGTCACAAGCCCACTGGCAACCTTGTCCTGCTCATAAAAGGACAGAGATGTGACAGCCTGTCTGTGGTGGGCACCTGTGTCCTGGCCACTGGTGCTTACCACTCTTGCCACTGTGCTACCAAGAACGTTGCTCTGTAGCTTCCTGCTTAGCCGCCTGGTGACCCCAACAGGTTGGATTCCTGGAAGTACAGCTCAGCCCAGCACCTGCCATCTCACCTGGTCTGCTGTCTGGACTTCAAGTCCCCCAGGAAATGACCCTAACCTACTCCTCTCCGAATCCCCGTCACCTGACAAAGCACCCAGCAGCAGAGCTGACATCTGGATGGAAGGAGCCCCTTTCCAATAGGTGGCTCTAGTACCCCTACCCTGCATCACAAGGACGCAGTGGAGCCAGGGGAGGGGCTGGGGGAGGAGGGTTAAGGAAAGGTGTGAAGTGTGCAGGACAGATGAGACCATATAATGCATCCCACTCATGGCAGGGATCAGGGCAGCAAGCTCAGTATACAGCCAAAGAGCATGAATTCAAATCCTGAGTCGCATACAGGGTTCTATGCTAGAGCCTGGGAGGGGCACAGTGATACTGACAGACACCCCCCCCAGAGATCTCTTGGAAGAGTAGCCCTGTCACCAGAAGTAGCCTGCTCATTTTCTCCTTGGAGGTGCCCTGTGAACGTAAAGGCTGAGAACTGATACACAAGGTCCTATTTAAATTTATTTTTTGAGAAAGTTCTCCTTATGCACTTCATGCTGACCTTGAACGCAGTATGTAGCCCGAGTTGGTCTTCAACTCATGGCGATCCTCCTACCTCAGTCCCAAGTGCTGGGAGGCAAGCACTACCACCTAGCCATAAGGTGCTTTAGAATCACCCCTGGAGCTAACCAGAAGCCCAAACACAACTTAGTGCTGCAATGTGGGGTTCAACACAGTGGATGCCAGTCTATGATGACACTGAGTTCCAGGCTCTGGGAAGGGCTGTCGGTCAAGGTCAACCCAAAGTGCAGGACAGCATCCCCACAAAGCCCACTCTTTGATGCAAATGGCTCCTCTGGGCCCCAGAGCAACTAGGCACTCATCTGGTAGAAGTGCTGCAGTAGGTGTCCTGAGCTGGGGTCTGGTCCCATTGGCCCGCACACCTGTGACAGGGCACCTCCCCTTCTCTGGGCCCAGCTCCCTAACCTGTGAACTTTTTGGGGCTCTCTAACAAGGGGCCAACAGCTAGGCTGGGGCACTGGGTGAACTGCCTGGATCACAGCAAGCTGCTGTCCGTGGAGAACCTTGGAGTGGGCAGAGTTCACAGGGCTCCCACACTTGCGAAGTGCTAAGAGCCACCAGAGCAGAAGGGTCCTTCCTGCCTTGATGGTCTAATTTTTTACAAAGACAGAGGACTCAGACTTGGTGAATTTGAAACAGGCAAACATTTTTTAAATAGAACACAAAAACCTAGAAACCATGAAGAATACAATGGATGAAAATGGAATTATGAGAAATGAACTTGGTGAAATGAAAATCTTACCAAAGGTACTACTGAAAGGAAAGGGCTGGGGGCTGGGGAGATGGCTCAGTGGAATAAGTGCTTCCCTGGCAAGTGCAAGAGCCTGAGTTCAACCCCCAGTTCCGCCAAAAAAAAAAAAAAAAAAAAAAAGGAAAGGGCTGGTGACATGGGGGGATGGGAACAGGGCTGGAGGCCAGAGCTCAGTGCAGGGTAAGTATACACAGCCTTGGGTTCCCTCCCCAGCAAGAGAGAACAAAAAAAAAAAAAAAAAAAAAAAAAACTCAATAGAAAAATTAGCCAAAAGCAAACTAGACACTTCTCCAAAGAGGACATCCAAACAAACATGAGAGACACTGTTTCCTGAGTTATCAGGAAATTAAGATAAAAACCTCAAGATGAGGTCAGCATTCAGCCATGTGAGCCCTGAGATGCAAAGGCCACTTAGTCTGGCAGGAGCCTGCTATACCGGAGCTCTTCTTGTGGGGTCGTCCTCCCGCGTCACACACTCCACATCCGGGATCCTACCAGGAGGCCATTCTACAGAATCACAAGTGTACCCGTGCCAGATACAGAAACAACAGCACTACCTGGGAGCAGGTGGACTGAGTGCTTGCAGAGCCCTGTGTGAGGACAGTGGGCCAGTGGTGCTACTCCTGACACCACTGGCAAAGTTGTGGTCCTTGCCGGACACAGTGAGGGGCAGGAGATGCAGAGAGCACAGACTGAGAGGAAGTGGAGAACAGGCAGGTGGGGCTCAGTGGGAGCTGGGCTCCCGTTCAACCCGATGGGGTGTCTGCATGGACAGAAGAGGGTCTCTGCCCTCAGAACTGACTGTCCACAGGTCCTATGTTAAGCTTGCTCTTCCTTTCTAGAGAAAGGGATGGTCATTCAGGAAGTGTACAATCCTTGGAACCCACCCACATCAGCCACCTTTGAGTGAAGACAACCTGGGGAGAGAAATTTCATTGTCCTCTCACTATTGCTACCACCATCGCTGCCATAAGTACTACCACCACCACCACCTTCCTCCCATTCTATCACCACTCGGTGAGGCAGAGCTGTGACCCGACAGTGAGAAGTTTCTGCCTGCAAGATTTTCAGTCTTCAGAGAGAATATCTGAGAGCCCTCAAACACTCTTCACTTAGTTTCCAGCAGAGTCAGACATCTCACACAAAAAGGCTCCTCTGGGCATATGTATCACTTACTGTAAGAGCTTCCAGTTTTGGTGGTAAGTACTTCACTAGAAAAATCTTTAATATTATTAAACAGGAAGGTAGAAAAACAAGACACTGTATCCATAAGAACTCAGAAACAGGAAGAGGACAACCTATTCTACCAGGCCTCAGGACAGGGTGGGGAGGCTCGGCTGAGGCAGGCCAGAACCTTTCTACACAAGACAAGACCTGTCTGGGTGATTCAGTCAAGTCCTTTGAAGTCAGAGAGTAAACAGGTGTCTTCCCCCGGAGTTAATTCTGATTGGCTAGAAAGTGAGGTAGAGAAAAACAAAGATTTCAAAATCTGGACTCCTCATCCCCCACCATTCCCACGCCAGGGCCCTGGGGGTCAGGCCTGACCTGGCCCCTCTTCCTTTCTCTCCCAAATCCAGCTGGGACCCTCCACCACAGCCCAGGTGGGGAAAGTCCTGTAGTCTTTTTGCAATCTCTCTGTACCTGGCCACTGATGACCCACTTCACATCTGTCCCTGCAGTAGCACACTCACACCTCTCTCTAGTCAGGCAAGAAACTTCTTAAGAGCTTAGGAAGTAGCACTGTATTTGGACAGCATTTTGCAATCAGCTTAAAAGGGACACATGCCATTAGCTGCCACCATAAGCGTGGTTCTGACTGCCCCAAGTGTGGGCTTTGGTGCTCACTCTGCTATTAGATGAGACTCATGAGATGCTACTAACAGCCTGGCCTAAGAAACGTCCATTTTAGTTCCTAAAGGAACGCCCAGGGCAAAGTAGAAGGGCACAGCATACAGCTCTGGAAACATTTCAGCAGTCTCATTTCTGCGCTCTCGTTTGAACATAGGTGCATGTGATGCCATGCCGGGAAATTTCAAGGGAACTAATAAGGACAGAGTCTTTTCCAGCATTGTTTATGAGGATGCATAACCTGGGAGAGATACCTGCTTCCCATCTTTGCTGGGAGCAGAGTGAGATTTGGAGTGAGGTTCACTGAAGTTCAGAATGCACATGCAGGTCCCAGGTAGGGTATACCCGAGGCTGACGAGAAGATGGTCTTTTCTTTTCCATCTGCTATGTGTAGGGAGTTGTGCTCGAAGAAGGGTGATGGCTACAGAGGAACAAAATAAAGCCAAGCCAGGCATGGTGGTGCATGCCTGTCATCCCAGCATTCAGGAGGCTGACAGGAGAGTGGGGATGTGTGCCATGAGTTTGAGGCTAGTCTGGGCCACACAGTGAGTTCCAACCCAGCCTGAACTGCAGACTGAGTGTGTCTCAAGAAACAGAACAAAATGAAACCAAGTATGCCCTGAAGTTCTCATCCTGGGATGGATCAGCATGCCAAACACCTGAAGAACTTGAAGACTTAGGGGGACAAGAGCCTAGTGGATGTGAGAAACAACGAGACTATGGCCAGGAGATGGAGCAGGAGAACTGCGGCGAGACACAGGTGAACGCCAAGCAGCATCATCTGGGCTCCTTACTTCAGCTGGAGATGGGTGAAGGTGCCAGAAGCAGGATGATGTGAGAGAGGCTGATACCCACAGAGAGCACCATCATGGAGCCAGGTGCTTTGACATGCCTCAAGATGTAATTCTCGCACTGGAGGGGAAGCGTAATTATTCTATGAAATTAAAATTCAGGAAAATGAGGGAACCTGCCCAACAGCTCCCAGGAGTTAAGATCTGGTGTGGGCGCTTGTCTCTGCCATGGCACGATGCTTGGCGGTCTGCATGCCTACCTCATGCCCAGCTCATGCCCACAGAAACAGAACAGCCAGGGTGCTTGCAACCGCAGAGCGGGTCTCGCTTTTGCCCCCCAGTCTCCTGTGGCACAGTGCAGCCGGGCCGGGACCACTGGGACATCTGGGCTGCACATGCTGCAGCCCACTGCCCTCTGCTGGCCATGGGGAGGGAGGTGTGGGAAGAGGACAAAATTCTTCTCAGCTTGGAGGCACTGAGGTCTGGATGATGATGATGACAAACCTTCTGAGCATTGTATTAGAGAAAAAAATCCAACCTTTATAAAACAGAGAATCGTATAATGCATTCCCTTCACATGCACAGCCAGCTTCAACAGCCTATGAGCTCAGACAACCCCGTGTTATACAAGCCTCACCCACTTCTTTCCACTAGGTTTTATTCAGAAGCAAATCCCAGACATTGTATTATTTTATCTGTAAAAGTTGTCAGATCATTTTGTATCTTGGCAAGAAAAGTTTTTAAAGAAAAGCCCCATAAGCACACCATCATCACAAGTAAAAACAATAATCTATATAGTCTGGGAAGCCTAGAATTGAGATAACTTCCCCTCAGGAGGATTGTGGCAGGAAGCAGCAACCGTGCTAGAACTAAAGGTCCAACCTGGATTCCAAGTGGACAGCACACCTCTGCTGCAGCAGGAGCAGATGAAAGGATCATGGGAACTGGAAGTGCAGGGTGGGTACCTAAGTGGAGGACATAGCTTCCTGGCCAGATCCACTATAAGTACACCTCAGTCTCAGCTGGGTCTTTTCAAAGATCCAGGAGGGTGAACAACACTGTGCTTTGTGGCCAACTGCCCAGGTGGCTCTGTTAGGAGACTCTCTGAAGGGCCAGTGCACCAGCTCCAGATCGTCGCAATCTGAGGGCAAAGTTTGGCAAGTGGTCAAGCCGTTTTGGGCAGGATCTGTGCCTTGTCTTCCCCACAGTACACACCTGTGATCCCAGTACTTGGGAGACTGAGGCAGGAGGAGGACTGCAAGTTTGAGGTCAGCCTGAGCTACAAAGTGAGATCCTGTCTCAAAAGAGAGAGAGAGAGAGAGAGAGAGAGAGAGAGAGAGAGAGAGAGAGAGATTCTCTTAAACAGTATTCTTATATGTTGAGTTTTGAAACTGAAAGACCAAGGTGGATATGGTGGTATATGCCTGTAACGCCAGCACATGGGAGGTTGAGTAAGATTTCCTGGAATTCAAGGCCAGCCTAGGCTACACGGTGAGTTCAACTCCAGCCTGGACTACATAGAGATCCTGTTTCAAATGAATGAATGAATGAATGAATGAATGAATGAATGAATGACAGAAAGACAAAAACAGATAGACAGAGAAAGAGAAAGGAGAGAGAGAAAAAGAAAACTGAAAGGGCAGAGATTTCCCAGTAAAACAAAAACAGACAACAAACTGTATCACTGAGATTACAGAGCTCTGGGGGAAAAATGAAGACTGAACAAATTTCCAGAAACAAAATACAAAGGGTTAAGATTTAGAATGGCTCTGGACTTCGACGACAGTGCTGAAAGTGAGAGGGCAACTGCAGCAGTGATTCTGGAATTCATGGGAAAATGATTTGTCAGCTCAGTGATCAATTTTGTGTGAGAGCAGAAAAAGATTTTTCAGACATGCAGGTCTTCAAATTAACATCTGAGACGCACACTTTCTCAAAGAATTACTGGCTCATTGCTTCCCCAAATGACAGCTTGTACCAATTCAAATGACAATCCCAGCATTGGCGACACACAGTTGGAATCCCAGCCACTCAGGAGGCTGAGGCTGGAGGACTGTGAGCTTGGGGCACACAGAGCGCAGCCTTGTTCAGTCCCCAGTACTGCAAAAACGAAAAAGTAATAGACACAGGGTACAGGAAGCAGAGTGCCCCCAAAGGGGAGAGGGAACAACAGTGTCCACTATAGGGCTGGAGAAGTACACAACATGGCCCAGAGCGATGCTAAAATGCTGAATGCAGACTTAGCAGAAGCTGTAAGAACAGGAAGATGGACTTGACGGATGGGTGGTGAGGGAGGCACGGGAGTGGACTCTAATCTAGCACTGACAGATGGGGCCTGAGCTGTAAAGCAGAGGGATTTGGGGAAGAGGCAGAGCAAACACAAATGATGCACGAGGACTGCAATCAGCTGTCCCGGTATATGTGTGTGTGTGTGTGTGTGATGGTGTATCGCCATCTTTCACTGTTGTGTACATGTGATCTGTGACACTGTTAAAAACAAAATAGGAGGGAAAGTCCACACATCAGTTCTTCAGATGCTGCCCTCACACAACCACAGTGTCAGGCTGCCTCGACACTGCCTGCACATCACCTGATTTCCCTGCTGTACGACCCAAATGACACAGACCACACACATTATGCATGACAGTCAGCAGGTGGGCTGCGTGTGGGGCTGTGACTCTTACCAGCAGTAACGATGCCTTTGGCGCTCTGTCTTATACTAGAAGGTCGCACGATGGCTGAAAGCCCTGTGGGGAAGAACCAAAAGGGATAATGAGTCCAAAGCTGATGGCAGCCATGAGAACTAAGACCCCAAACCAGTCACCCAAAGGGGCTGGCAGTGGAGCTGTCCCTTGCCACAGGCACATGGACACATGGAGTGCTGTAGTCCCGGGCCCTGGGTGATCGCCACATGAGCACAGGAACATGATGGATGTGCTCGGGGCCTTGGTCACCTCAACTCAGCCAAGGGGGCAGTGACCTGCAAAGCTCACTTTAGGAATTTAAACCTGCCCCTGCTTCTCAATCCCTACAGGTGAAAAAAACGCCAATGTTCTGATCTAGGAGAAAGTTTACTCTGAAAACACATGGAGAAGACACTTTAGTGGGAGACAACGGGACAGCCCCTTAAAACACAGCAGTGGTTAGGCATGGTGACACATACCTGTTATCCCAGGACTTAGGAGGCTGAAGCAGGAGGTCACTTGAGTTCAAGACCAGACTGAACTATATAGCAAGATCCTGTGATCACTTTTTTAACCCCCCAGGCTGGTCTTGATCCTCCTGTCTCAACCTCCCCAGTGCTGGGATTACAGGCGTATACCACTACATCCAATTCTGGGGCCACCAAGGCATGCAGGGCTGGGGATCGAACTTGGGACCTAGGCCTAGTCAGACAGGCACGTATGCCACTGAGCTATCTCCCTAGCCAGTTTGTTTTTTGAGGCAGGGTCTATTATCCCAGGCTGGACTTGAACTCACAGTGATCCTCCTGCCTCAGCCTCTTCAGTGCTGTAATCAGACATATGTATCACCATGCCTAGTGATCATTTTACTTTAAACAAGTGAGTCGTGTGATTTGGAAAGCCCCAAACTGTTAGTGTTTTTCTTCATCCTGGAGGCCATTTTTCTCTTGACCTTGACAGCCAAAAAAGAATAAATAGGGATCTCAGCTGCAACATGAGGCTGCTTTCACCTCCTCCGGCGTCCCTAGCCGTACCTAGGCGGACCACGTCGCCACAGTCCGGGTCGTGTGCGACCTGCAGTAGGGTCTCCTCCACGTCCCTGTTCTTCCCAGGAGGGTCCATGAGGCGATTTATTTGCTGCTGTAAGGTTTTGGGCAGTGTCATGAGCTGAGTGAACTGTCCTTCTGGGCTTTTATCGATCTGAGGGGAAAAAAACAAACGACAATGTTTATGCAAGTGCTTTAAATTTTATAAACATTCAGGCTTCTGGCTTCTATTTAAAGTCATACAGACAGGTCTTCTGTTATGGGTACTCCCGGACAGACAAATGTAATTAGATAGGTATTTTTTCCTGGTGAAAAGAAAACATAAAAATCACACAAACGCTGATGCCACACCCACACTGGGAGCCTCCCCTTTGGGAAACCGAGTATCTAACTCACTCTCAGACTGCTGGCGTGAATCAGGTGTGTCAATACAACCTAGCTGTCACTGCTCGTTCAGTGGGAATAGTGATGCAAGCCAAAAGCATACTGTCAGTGCATTTGAAATGCCTCAAGCTGCTAAAAGATAGTCTATCAAGCCACCATTTGATTTTACCTGGAAACCACTGAGGCAAAATTAAGCAACACAGATGAGACTAGGCTGCCTTCCTTAATAAAAATCTAAAAAAAAAAAATCCCATGCTAGGTGTGGTAGTACATGCCTGTAACCCCAGCACTCAGGAGGCTGAAGCAGGAGGATTGCCAGTTAGAGGCTAGCCTGGGCCACATAGTGAGTTCAAGGCCAGCCTGAACTATGTATTTGAGAGACCCTGTCTCAGAAAAACACTTTCTTTAAGAACGCTATACCTAAACACTGCCCACCTACCAAGTGCAGAGCCAGTACACCGGACAGCTCACTACATTACTCTCTAGGTAAATATCTGTCTTGTATGCCCCTCTCCTTTTTTTCTTTTGGAGACAGGGTCTCTCCATGTAGCTCAGCTGTTCTGAAACTCACAGCAATTCTCCTGTCTCAGCCTCTCAAATGCCTGGATTATAGGTATGTGTCAGCATGCCTGTCACTGTCTTGTATTCTTTTAACAAGTATCTAGGTTTTAAATGTAAATAAGAACCATAAGAAACCTGGGTATGGTGGCACATACTTATAATCTCAGCATGTAGGAGGCCAAAGGAGGATTACCATGAGTTTGAGGCTAGCCTGGGCTACACAGTTCAAAACCAGCCTGAACTACTAGGGAGATCTTATCTCACACAAACAAACAAACAAACAAACAATTGGACAAATCAATATACAAAATTTCAGATCCAAACTTTCTATGTATAATCAACTTTCTTAATAATTGGAACTCATTACTTTTTTTTAATGTATTTAGTACAGAGTCTAACTATGCAGATCAGACTTATAGTGATCCTCCTGTTTTCAGCCTCCCAAGCACTGGGATTATAGACGTGTGCCACCGCACCTAGTCTCAATCGCTGTCTCAATGCACCTTGGGGGTGGGGCTGGCAGGGCAAACCAGGGACTTAATCCTAGCCCGCTGTGTTCTGTCTAAGCAGGCCCTTTAGTCCACTATCATCCTATTATCCTATT